GTGAGGAGTACATACATTTTGTATGTAAAGAATATATACATTTTGTATGTAAGGGAAGTGTCCAACTTCATTCTTTTATATGTGACAATCCAGTTGTCCCAGCACTGCTTGTTGAAAAGTCTATTCTTTCCCCATTTCACCCTTGATTTTGGCACCCTTCTCTTGACACTCTTGTTGAAAACCAATTCACCATATACACATGGGTTTGGGGGTCTCAGTTCTATTTCATTGACCTACACATCTATCTTTTGCCGGTACCACACTGTCTTGATTACCGTTGTTTTGTGGTGTTTTGAAATTGGAAACTCTGAACCCTCCAACTTTGTTCTTCTTTTTCAAGATTGTTTTGACTATTCTGAGTCCCTTGAATTTCCACATGAATTTTAGGACAGTTTGTCAATTTCTGCAAAAAAGTGGCAGCTGGGATTCTGAGAAAGGTTGCATTGAATCTATAATTCACTTTGGAGAAATACTGCCATTATAACAACATTAAATCTTCCTATCCAAGAACATGGGATGTATTTCCTTTTATCCAATCTTTTTTTTTTCCTTCTTCTCCCCAAAGCCCTCCAGTACATAGTTGTATATTCTAGTTGTGGGTCCTTCTGGTTGTGGCATGTGGGATGCTGCCTCAGCATGGCCTGATGAGTGGTGCCATGTCCACGTCCAGGATCTGAACTGGTGAAACCCTGGGCCACCGAAGTGGAGTGTGTGAACTTAACCACTCAGCCGTGGGGCCGGCCCCAATCCAATCACTTTTAATGTACTAGAGGAACCATATGATGCAGATATGTCACTAGGAAAATGGAAATGATATTCCTTGGTTATCGGATAATAGAAGATTTTGATTTTACTTTCATACGTTTCTGTATTTTCCAAATTTCAACAAGTATACCTTTAAATAACCAGAAAAAAGTTATTTTTAAAGGAAAATATTCTTTAATAAAATATGCTTAAGTTAAAGTGTTTCATAAACATGGAATATGCTTGGAAATAAAAATGCTTGAAAGATTTTTCAATATACATGAACATACCACTGTTTATTCTTGATCACTTACTCATCAGAATTTACTGATTGAATACTTTATGGCAAATACTGTGCTAGGTCCTGAGTGTACTGTTTTAAAAAAACAGATATGATTCCTGCCCTCATGAAGGCTACATCTAATGGGAGAATGGGAAAGAGGCAAACAAAGTAGTAAACAGAAATGTAATTACAGGGCTGGCCCAGTGGCATAGTGGTTAAGTTCACATGCTCTGCTTTGGTGGCCCAGGGTTCACAGGGTCAGATCCTGGGCATGGACCTAGCACCACTCATCAAGCCACGCTGTGGAGGCATCTCACATAAAATAGAGGAAGAATGACACAGATGGTAGCTCAGCCACAATCTTCCTCAAGCAAAAAGAGGAAGATTGGCAACAGATGTTAGCTCTTGGCCAATCTTCCTCAGACACACGCAAAAAATGTAATTACAAGTTGTAAAGAGTACTTTGGAAGAAACCCATTGGTACTATGACGGGGAATAATGGTGAGGTAGAGCTAACCCACTTTGATATACTGGTCAGGGTAGCTCTCTCTATGACACCAACATATAAGCTGAGGCTTCAGACTAGATATAAATGTAAGTGTTGGTTTTAGATATTTGTCAAAATGTTCAAGATAGTTTCTTAAACTGAAAGGTAAAAATAAGAAACTTTAAAATTCTGAAGGGAAATTAATTTCAACAAATAGAGTAATCCCACAATCTCTTATAACAGCATAAATAGGGCCCAAAAAAATTCAATGCCATTAAATGTGGGGTTAACTCATCGTAAGGTTAATGACATGCAGAAGAGCCTGCTGTGGTCCAACTGTGCAGGCCAAATCCTGTCCTGCCCAAGCCGTGGTTTGGCTCCATCTGATGGTAGCTGTCTGCTCCAGCTTAACTATGCATGGGGATGATTCTAGGTCCCTCTGAGCGCTAGGAGTTTCTGGGCAGAAGCAGAAGTTCCAGGAATCTCCAGTTAGCTGATGCCTTTTTTGTTAGCCTGATGGGGAAGGCTGAGCTGAGAGAATATTGAAGATTCAAAGCCCCACGTTTTACCTCCCTCTTCCTGAGATGGTGTACCCTGACATTTCCCCTCCTGGCCTCAGTCTATCTTCCACTTATCCTCCCTCCAAACATAAGATCTCCACCCACTCCTGTTTGAGAATGAGGGCTAGGCAAAGGACCAGAGTCAATACAGAGTTCACTGTGGGTTATCATGGGGGTCTTATTATATGTTTTGGTTGCTACTTGCGTACCCAATATTCATTCCCTGCTCTTAGTAACAGAACTCAGATGTTGTTTGGGAGGCAATGTGACCAACTGAATTATATGCTTCCTTGAGCTCTACTGCAAGTAGGCATGGTAAGGTGATGTACTTTGACCAACAAGACGTCAATTAAGGGATTTGGGAAAGCTCTGCTTTAAGGACATAGGCACCACTCTTTTCAGCTTTCTTTTACACCTTTCTCCCTAGAACCTGGAGATGGGGCTGGAGATAGAGCAATCATTTTAAGACCATGAGATAACCACCAGGATGAATGCTTTATGTGAAGAATAGTGATGCAGAAAGATAGAAGGAAGCTGGGCATTGTGGAACAGCTGCTCCAGCCTGGATGGACCACCTCCAGACTTCTAACTGAGAAAGTCAACTCTTATTTGACTACGGTTAGTTTTCTATTATATACAGCCAACTGAAATCCTAATGGCTACAGCTGTGTACCATGAGCATAAACTTAACATCTTTTGAAGAATCCAAGGTTTTTAAGGTTTTAATGTAGGAAGTCCAACTCTCATGTTTAATAAAAGAGAAAATTCACAGCACTCCACACCTTATCACCCACTATAAAGTGGTTAGTAAAGGTCATTAAACAGGGGTAGCACAAAGGAGCGGCTTCCAAGAGGGAGTCATTTAATGCCACTTATCTTCATTAATCCCATTCCCCAAACCATACCAAATAAACATAAACTCCGGTAAAGCTGTGCTTGCTATGTAAACATATTTCTAGACAAGTTCCTTGGTCCCCCTTTCAATAATAAGATTGCTATCCCTGATCTCCTCTAATATGGGAATTTTGTCACAGTATAAAATAACTTCCAGGGTAACTCTGCCCACAGTTAAAGTTATGGCTTAGGGTTTATTACTGCACATATTTTTCAACTTTCAAGCAGATACATTAAAGTGATGTGGCTCAAGGAACAATACAGTTTTTTCCAATTTGCCTCAGCAGGTTGCTACTCTAATCTGAAATCCCCTCTTTACCACCACCCCCTTACACTCAATGCCTCATCCTCCAAAACAAAGCCCTTGAATTATGCTTACAGAATTCATTATTCTTCAGGGTAGATACAGCTCCATTCAAAGTAATATGAGCATCTGTACAGAAAGTGTAGCTCAGACAAAGTAACATATTAATAGGCCCGATTAGAGGAAAAGAAGGAGAGAATTCTGCTGGTTTTCTATATGGACTCTGGCCCACGTGAAATTAAATTCTTTTTGCATCCTAATATGAAGAATGTAGATTTTTTTTATTATTGCAAATGAGATAATGCCCTTTCAAGTAGGAAAAACCCACAAAACTATATATATCAAAATATATCAAAACTATATGTATCTAAACTATACAATGAAATTTTTTATCCCAGAACCAAAACAGGGAAACGCTTCCAGATAAAATACTATATGTAGCCAACTAGAGTTACATATTTTTTTCATTATAGAACAGAATTACTCCATAAAGTTTTCTGATATCTTTGTAATATTTCCCAAAGAAACTTCAGAAAAATAATAAAATTCAGCTAAGAATGATCATAACTGAGTCAAGAGTCCCAAATAAATGATTATTTTTCTAATTGTCAAATTCTTACATGTCAAATTACTTGTTTCTGAGATCTTTTTAAAAACTTTTTGGAGAAAATTCCCCACTCTCTTTTTTTTTCTCTAAATAGGCAGGGACAATCAGCAGGAGGCAGCTCGTGATTTTCAGAGAACTTGAGCATCACCAAGAGAAAGGCTAAAGAAACGTAACACACAACTTAGGCTGCCTACTTCCTTGAAGGCAATTCAAATTTCGGCGGGCGCGTAAGGTCTTCAGCGCCCTGTGGCAACCCTTCGGAGAAGGATACCGTAAAACATTAGATCGCCTTCTTCACCATCAGTGTCTGAAAAGTGATAAAAATTTGGGCAGAAGTAGTTATTTTGCCAAGCTCTGAGACTTCAAGCCGCAACACCGCCCCTGTAGGGGATCTGGAAGCAAACACAGCGAGGGTTACGAGCGGTCGCGGAGGGGCGCCCCGAGACCCCTCTGGAGACTCATCTGGTTTGCGCGCGGAGCCGCGGTGGGGAGCAGGGTCTATTTTCAAGACTCACCTCTAAACCCCAGTTTGTGCCTGAGTGCTTTATTCCCCTCAGGCTAATACGTTTAAACTAGCTATGGGTGGCAAACTATGCCCATTCTTTGGGCTCCCAAGTTTGGCACGCAGAGGCTCTGTGGCACATGAAAGTTCTTCACAGCTTGTTTTCACGTCCAACTCTGTCTCTGAGAGCGCATCCCTATCCTGGTCCGGCCCTGGGGCTGTCACCGAGGAGCCGGACAGATCGCTGCCCGGTGCCACATCTTGACGGCCAGGAGCCCGAGGCTGCAGGGCAGCCCCTCCGACCTGGACAAGTGGCCCGCATTCGTCTCCCCACAGGCAGGAGCGCTCCGAGACCCGGGCAGCACTTGCATCCTAAAGAGATGTCTCCCAACACCCAGACAAAGACAGCTCTGGGAAAAGTTGGAACAACTGGCACCACGAGAAGGCGAGTAGATCAGCCCCTCGGTCTCGGTGGCCGAGCCGACGACACGCTCTTACAGTCGCAGCCAACTTTTCCCGTGAGCTTCTGAGCAACTTGCTGGAAGTTGGGACGAGGAGGCAGGGAAGGGGTCAAGGGCAGCGCGGAGAGGCTGGTCGCGCCCCAGCCGGTTTCGCGTACCTCCCCGAGTACCTGCTAATGTATCCGTCGCCGTCGCCGTCGCACGTCTGGAAGAGGCGCCGCATCCTCTCCTCCTCGCCGGTGCTGGACGTGTCGCTGCTGCTGCTGCCGCCACCGCCGCCGCCGCTGCTGCCGCCGCTGGCGCTCCCCGCCGCAGCCGCCGCCATCATGCGCCCGCTCCCTGCTCGGGAGGAAGAGGACGCGCGGCAGGAGGAGGAATCCGTGAGGCGCAAAAGCTCTTCGCAGCCCCGAACCTGCCTGACAACCGAGCATGCCCAGTGGCCGCCGGGGCGCTCCGAGCGAGGGATTCCACCTCTCCGGGTTTTGCCCGGGCTGGGAAGATGGGCGCTCTGGAATAGCAGGAGTAGGCACCTTAGGGGAGAGGCAGAAGGGGAAGGTGTCTCGTGGAGTCAGGGAGCCAAGGGTGGCGACGGGGACGCGAGGGGAGGGAGAGAACACAGGAGGCCTCCGAGAAGGGTGTCAGCTCTGCGCATCGGACCACGACGCGGGCCACTGGGACTTGGGGATGCTTCAGGCAGAGCGCGGGTGTTCTCTCGGCAGAACTCTTCCAACTGCCAGGAGTCGTGGATTCCTTTTTCAGAAAAAAAAGATAAACGCTCCAGTTTTGCAGACTTAAAGCGGTGCTCGTGGTCCCACTCTGCGGGACTGAGTTCTGCACCCATAGTCCCAAATGAGACCCGGAATGGCTGGTCATTTTATGCATTTTTAACACCTGTCAAGAAATCTGACCCTCCTTGGCTCCGACTGGTCTTCCACTCTATAGTGGGAACAGTCTGTGCTCCCGTGTAAGATTGTGCACGTTTGGTCCGTTATTGGAAACAGCTCACTCTCCTGACCTGGCATCACTTGAATTTTCCCCAACAGCTTTAACAACATCAACAGCGAACAGAATCGATGGTCTTATTTGATCCACTCAAGAAACCTGAAAAATGTCTTTATTGTCAATTTAGGATTTAGGAGGTGGGTAGCTACCTCATAGTGTTATTTTGGTTATAAAATAAAACAGTATAGAATGCACTTAGGACAATGCCTAGCACCTAGTAAGTGCTCTATAAATATTAGCTGCCACTATCCCCATTACAGATAAGAAACACTGAGGCACCCAGACTTGCTTAAGGTTCCAGGCTCAGTAAGTGTTAAGGCAGAGGCAAGGCCAGGCAAGCGCTCTAAACCCCCAGAGCCGATCCCTTAAACACCACACTATCTTTCCACCATAGCAGAAAAGGAACCACAATGAACCAATTTTGTGGTTGAGAGAATGACTCATTATTCTGTCCCAGACTTTCTGCCAGAGGTCTATAAAGTCCTGTGATGATTTTAAAAAACATCTGCAGATTCTCTCGTCTGCAGAGTCTTGCTTCATCAAGAGGTGGAGTCTGTCGCCTCCCCTTGACCCTGAGTGGGCCTTTGTGATTGTTTGGACTCCTGAAACCAGGTTAGAAAAGACAATACAGATTCCACCTGGCTCTCTCAGTTGGGACACAGACCTTTGAAGTCCAGAAGTGACTTGAAAGAAGTTTGGCCACCCTGAAGCTGCCATGCTGGAGAGAACATGCAGAGACCATGTAAAGACGGAAAGAGAGGCCCAAGGAGCCTCAGCTGTTTGAGCTTTCCCAGCCCAGGTGCTAGACAAGTGACTGAGTGCTCCTTCAGATGATGCTTGCCCTAGACACGTGAGAGACTCTGAGCAAAAGCAGCGTGAGAGATTCTGCATAAAAGCTGTCTAGCTGAGCCCAGCCAACCCCCAGAAATATGTAACAATAATAAAAGGATTGTTTTTGTTTTAAGCCACTACATTTGGAGGTGATTTGCCATGCAGCAGTAGGTAACTGGAACATGTCCCTATGTCTTGGGACTCTCTACCAGGTCATAAGGAAGGTGTCTCTGCCCTCTTCTCCCCTCTCTCCACCCTATCCACCCATTCCTACTTTAGATCTTTTTAATTCTGTAAGCTCCCAGTATTTCAGGGAACTTATAATCATATAATGAATAGGATGTTGTCTTAGAAAAATTTTGTCAATATATTCAATCATATTTGCTTAAAAGATGCTACTAGCAACACAAATATTCCTGGCTACAATGGAACAAGGACCAATACCCAAGTTTCTAAAAATAAATAAATAAATATTTAAAAATCTTTATTCTAATTTTTCATAGAATAAAACTTTTGTTGTTGTCTGACAATACAGCCAGACAGGAGTTGTTACCCTTAATCTTCCTGTAGAATTGATGGTCTGTGGGGAAAAAAAGTAAGAAAAAAAGCATTTTTCTAAATAGAAAAAGGTATGGAGAGTATGGAAACCCAAAGGATTTTCCAGGATTTGCGTAGATCTCTACATAACTACACTCCATATATACAGAAAGTGGAGTATAAATTCAGTCAGTTACATTTCAAAGCAAGGAATGTTTTTCTCCTGAGAGAATACATGCACGACAGCTCTGGAAATTTAAATTTAAACCATCTTGAATTAAATCTGAGCACACAAAAAGTGGGTCTTGACAAATTTCCTAAACAACATTTGCTCATGCTTGGGTAACTCAGAAATGGCTGAACAGAAAGGTTCAACCTTCCAGAAAAGAATTTGCTTCTGAGCTGATAAGAAGCATATGAAATTTCAGCTGAAAAGGTTACTAGAAGAAAGAGAAATTTGTAAGACATTGAAAATAGAGATGGCATGTGAATATAAAGATGATAAATGTAAAGCAGGAGCTTGAAATGAGAGCAATACCCAGGCCCATAAATCTAACAGTCCTGGTTATGTCATAATTTCAAAGGTTTTATGTATTTATCTGAGATGAGTACATAGCTCAACGTCGTTGTCCTTATCCAGTTTTTTTTCTTGTCAGATTCTTCTTGGTTATAATAACACTTCATATTTATGTACTACATTTCAAAATACGCTGTAGACATTATAAGATATGCTGTCTTATATGTCTAAAGGTACCAGTTAAAACAAATAAAACAATGGCAGCACTGTGCAAACTTGATTACCTGGTGCCTGCCCTTCCAAATTCTGTTTACCAAACTAGGACTACAAGCTGGAGTTGAAATGAGGACCCTTCTGGTGCCCTCTGCCCACCTTTCTCTCTAGGGCTCTCTCTGAGCCCGGCTAAGGTCCTATATCCCTCAAGAAAACTTCCTTCACCTACCCAGGTGGCACTGATCTCCTAGCGCTCTCCTAGCTTAAAACATACATTTTGAGAGCAGAATCAAATAGTTTAATGGTGATTTGCCTCCCTTACTCACCAATTATTTATTATTAAATGAGGTTGTAAATTGAGAGAAAACAGTGAGGTAGAGTTGAGGGAGCTCAACTAACTTTTACTGAGCCCTTATCACAAATCAGTCAGTTCTGATTTAAATGTTTAAATACTTTACCTCACTTAATGCTATCTAGTGGGGGAAAGTATTTATCATTGCTATTTATGGGGTGGGGGTTGGTGAGTGGGGGGAATTAAATCCAAAAAGTTTAGAGTAACATGCCTAAGTAAAGAGCTGGACTTGAACTCCTATCCACCTGTCAAGCCCATGTTCCTCACATTTACTTCATGTTGTCTTAATATCAGGCCAGTGCTATCTGTGTTAGCATTACTCTTTTTGAGAAACACTGAAAAGGGGTAACAATAATAAACTTTATATTTATATATTTGTTTCTTATATATTTATAATCATAAAGAGTCATCATGAGCTTTTATAATCTGTCCCAGTTTGGGTTCTCTGGGAGACCGCCTCCAAGACAGAGTTTCACATGCAGGATGCTTACTAGAGAGTGCCAGTGAAGGGAGCAGGAGGGGACAGAGGGAGAAGTCATGCTGTGACACAGGCCCAGAGCACCCTTGTCTGACTTCACAGAAGCTCTGGAGCTAAAATGGCCTATATTAATTCCCTGTTACTGTTGTCACAATTTGCCACAAACTTAGTGACTTAAAACAAAACAAATTTATTAACTTACAGTTCTGGAGGTCAGAAATCAAAAATGAGGGGCCAGCCCCGTGGCCTAGTGGTTAAGTTTGCGCACTCTGCTTCGGCGGCCCAGGATTTCCGTGGTTCAGATCCTGGGCGGGGACATGGCACCGCTCATCGGGCCACGGTGAGGCGGCGTCCCACATGCCACACCTAGAAGGACCCACAACTAAAATATACAACTATATACTGGGGGGATTTGGGGAGAAAAAAGCAGAAAAAAAAAAAAAAGATTGGCAATGGTTGTTAGCTCAGGTGCCAATCTTTAAAAAAAAAAAAAGAAATCAAAAATGAGTCTCACTGAGCTAAAATCAAGGTGTCAGCAAAACTGTTCCTTCTGGAGGCTCTATCAGGGAATCCATTTGCTTGTCTTTTCCACCTTCTAGAGGCTGTCTGCATTCCTTGACTCTTGGTTCCTTCCTCCATTGTCAAAGCCAGCTGAGTAGCATTTTCAAATCTCTCTTACTTGAACCCCTTATCTGCCTCCCTCTTATACTTTAAAGAACCCCTCTGATTCTACTGGGCCCACCCAGATAATCTAGGATAATCATTTTCGATTCAGCTGATTAGCAACCAGAATCTATCTGTTACCTTAATTTCCCTTTGCCATGTAACATAACATATTCATAGGTTCCAAGGATTAGGACGTGGATACCTTTAGAGGGTCAATTATTCTACCTACCACATAGTCCATCCAATTATCCTGTACTGAAATGAAAGGGCTGGGTTTTTACACCTCTGCCTCAATCAGTCATTGAATGTAGAGCCACATGCCATTGGATCCACAACCCGGAAACGTTGTGACCTTGGCAAGGTGACTTTCTGTAGCACAGTCAATTCCTGGTGAACTGACAGGTTGTCACAAGACAACCTTCTTAGTAGCTGGGCAGCACTCTTAGAAGCTAGGCAACAAGTCCTTTCTTGAAGGGAGAACTGGATGGTGCATTTCCATGTTCATCACAGGTCACTCCTTGAGCCATTGGATCCACTTCTTCATGTATGTTTGGGGAACATCTCCTCCAGGATTCTGCTGGCCCTCTCCTTCTGGGGGGATCTTTGAAGAGGAAATTTAGTGGTAAAAGTTACATTCCCCACCACTGCTGCAGGTCCTAGGGTCCCAAATGCTACTCATTGTCTCCCTCCTCCACTACCAAGTCTAGACTCCCTTTACCTCAGAGAGCCAGCCTAGGGGGTTTACTTGGTGTCACAACCAGATCCTCATCTCTGATTGCTACACTTGTTGATTTTCTGTTATAACTGGACAAGGGAGTGTGAAGAGGTACCCATATAAATCACCTGTGTGCTAAA